GTTTTTTTTTTTTTTTTTTTCAGAGAGCCGCAGGCGCTGTGAATTCACTTGAGTAGGTGTTCTGTTGCAGCCCGCTGGTCACAGGGGAACAGAGAACCTGTATGGAGGAGCGGGTCCAGTGAGCCAAGTCTTTCGTGAACCAATGCCATAGAAAACCGCCCCCAAAGAACCTCAAACAGCTGGTCTGCTGCCCTCTGTATAACATTTTGTTCTGCACTTTTCATCCTAACCCACATAAGCCGAGGCTGCAGTCGTTTAAGAACACAATGTCCCAGGCGGCGGTTTGAGTTCCATCGAATTGCTCACAGCTTGCACTGCTTTAGGTCATTAGCTTCTCCCCTCACCTTTCTTGATTATTCCCTTACCTCGGGAAGGAGCAGGGGAGAAAGGGAGGCAGAGCTGGGGAAGGGGGAAGGGACCCTTTCCTCAAGGCCCTACTGGTTTAGCCCAGACTCCTGGTCTTGACAGAAGCTGGGTTCCTCCTGTAGCCCCGAATCCTCTTGAGAGACTAACACTTTGGAAGGAGCCCTGGGGCACAAAGGGCTTCTAACCAGTCCTCATTTCCCAGAGGCAAGAGCCCTAGATGTACTCAGCCTGAGCTTCACAGAATTCTGAGGGATGAGGACTCCTCCAATGCCATGGAGTTTGCACACTTGGCCATCCTCTCTTATTCCAGAAGAAAGGTGAAAAGTTTAAGTAAGTGCACATTTCTGCCCCTAGATACCCAATAGAGAGCAAGGTGGTGTCTCCCAGAAGAGCAGGTTCTGGCCACTGCTGTTTCTATTTTTCTGTAAGTCTGGGCAAGGTCTTTGTTCTTCCAATTCAAATCGTGTCAGTTGTAAGATTAGCTGAGAATAACCTGAGAGGGGTTTTCAAGTTGTCAGGTGCATAGCTCCCATCACCTCTGAGGCAGTTCATGGCTTACATCAAGGGAAGATCAACTGAATCCACTGCAGTAGGTCCCATATCAGACTTCTTTCTAGACAAACTTTCGGGGTAAGGAGGAAGAATCCAGGAACTCTGATTCTCTCTGCTGGCCCAAGTAGCCAGGGTGGAACAGTGGAAAGAGAAGGCAGTAAACATGTAGGTTCCAAATGTTCCTGTTTGTTGGTCATCTTGGGCAAGACATTTACTTATCTGTAAAAGGTGGACATTATTCCTTGCCTTGAAGGTCAAGTGAAACAGATGTGAAAACTCAAAGTCCTTTCTGAGTGTGAAATAGTGGAGTCATCTTAAAGCTGACCCTGAGGAATGAACAATGTTTACTGTTATGCTAGGGATAAACTGAAGTACAGTACTGTAGATTGATCTGTCTATGGGTGTGAGGTCCTGAAGGCCACCTCGAGCTAAAGATGCTTTGTTCTCCAGGGAGTTTGCCTGTAACTAGAGTCAATCTTAGTAGATGCTGCCCAAGTGTTAGCTCCATCGATCTATTCAGTATTTGTGGAATGTTTACCATATCAGGTGCTGTATCTAACACTGGGAGACTGCAAAAACCCTGTTCTCAAAGAGCTGACAGTTCTGGTGGGGTAAACAAATAACCTGTGTGTCACATTTAAAATTTTGAAATGTGATAAGGGTGATAATATAGGTACCTCTGGGTTTAGAGTTGACAGGAAAAAAAAAGATATCCATTTAAATTCAAAATCAGATAAACAAATACATTTTTTAGCATGTTACAAATATTGCATGGGACATACTTATAAGAAAAAAATAACATCTATTTGAAATCCAAATATTGCATGGGGCATTATACTATAAAAACAGATTATTCTTTATGATAGTCAAATTCAACTGGGCATCCTAATATCTGGCCACCCTATTTGGGTGCCATGGAACTTCATAGTAGGATCAGCCACATTGTCTGGAATGGGTACCCAAGGCATTGATGGTTAAGCCAACAAGGAGGAAGGTGGCCAGAAGAGCAGAGGATTTAGCCAAGACTATTCTAGATGAAGGAAAAGACTGTGGGAAGAAAGTCAGGGCCTGCCTGATGGAGAAGGACACTGCAGAGTGGAAAAGAAAAAGCAGCAGCTGGGTAGACAATAGCTAATGGTTATATAAAACTTGTATGTTAGGTACTCTGTGATTCTCTTTGTGTATATTATACCCATTCAGCTGCATGCCCCAACACTTGGAAGGCAAAGGTGGACCTCTGTGAGTTCAAGACCAGTTTGGTCTATATAGTGAGTTCCAGGCTAACCAGAGTTACATGATGAGACCCTGCCTCAAAAAAATTATACACACGCACACACACACACACACACACACACACACACACACACTCTCATTCTACAAGATAACTTCTAATAGTGTAATTTTTTTATATAAGAAAACACAAACCCACCCAGACACACACACACACACACACACACACACACTCATTCTACAAGATAGCTTCTATTATTGTACCATTTTTATAGATGAGAAAACCAAGGCATCCAGAGGTAAAGATCGGGGTCATATAGATAGTAGAACATAGAACTTGGACTCAAACATAGTCTAGCATCTTGCCCCATGCTATTCTGCTTGAATAGTAAAACTGTGCACTGCCTTGTATACTGCATTAGGGATTTAAATGTCATCTGAAGCCAAGGAAGAAGAGGGAGAGATAGGACTAGGACTGTAGCTCAATGGTGCAGAACTTGCCTAGCAAGTGTGAGACCCTGGGTTTGATCCCCAACACTGCAAAAACAACAAAAAGCAATCTGACTAATGTATAGAAAATGAATCAAAGTGGGCAAGTTAGGTGCAGTAATTCAGGCAAGAGATGATTTGTGGGGAATGAGGGTAGAAATAAGAGATTCCAAGATATTTGTAAGTAGATTTAAAGGGGTCTCAATGTTGAAGGTTTAGATAAAGAGGATTCTGCATCTGGCCTCTGTACCCAGCCAAGTGGATATACAAGTAGTTAAAACAATGAAGCCTCTACAAGTCTGGATAAGGCCAAAAAGAAAGATATAGTGGCACAGGCCTTTAATTCCAGCACTCAGGAGGCAGAGGCAGGCAGATTTCTGAGTTTGAGGCCAGTCTGGTCTACATAGTGAATTCCAGGTCAGTTTCCATCAGGACTCAAATATTAAACAAGACACTGCTTAAATAATGAGCAGAGGTATGTAACAAGTAGCAAGCTTTGTTCTCAACTGTTGCTTAGTTGGATCCAACAGACTGACGATAAATAGAGCATATAGCTCTGCTGTGCTTCATGGAATTGGGCAAAAAATAAACTTTGAAAGGAGCTTTTCTGATTTGGCATAGCAACCCAGTGACACTTTTCAATGCAAGGAAAGGTATTCTATTTATTTTAATTTTTAGTGTTTACTGAAACCACATTTCCTACTAATTTGACTCGGATATAGAAGCCCGCTGTAATAGCTGCCTTCAAAGTTGAGGGCTGGATTTTATATCTAGGACTTCTGTCTGCTGCTTCCCAGAAGAGCTCCCCAGGGTCCATCTCTCTAACACTCAGGCTTTCCAGAACTTCTCTCTATAGACAGAGAGAAAAGCAAAGACTCATAGCCCTCTCTGCATCATGGTGGCTAGCACAATAGCCTTCCTCCTTTTTCTCCACTCTGAATGGCAGCTTGTGCTCACTGTTAAAAGCAGTATTTGCCTTTATTCGTTCATTCACTTATTCACCAAATATTTATTGTCACTAATACCAGGCACTTTTAAAAATTTTATTGGTTGTAGTTGTGTGTGTGTGTGTGTGTGTGTGTGTATACAAGAATACTAGCATGTGTATGTGACAGTCAGAGGACACCTTGAGGGAGTTGGACCTCTCCTTCCAACATGTGGGTCCCCAAAGATTGAACTCAGGTCATCAGGCTTGGGGGCAAGCACCTTTACCCAGTGAGCCATGTCACTGACCCAATTTTCTAAGTCCTAGGATTCTACCAATGAATAAAATAGACCAAAATTTCTTGTCTTTAAATTGCATTTTGGAGAAGTAGACATAACAATCAAATAATATTTAAGCAACATTACATATGTAATGTGTGAGATGATGAGGCAAGCTAAGAAATACAAAGGAGGAATGGGAAAGAGGAGTGGAGAACACAAATATTATATAGAGAAGTCATAAAAAAAGTCACTGGACAACTGACATTGGAGCAAAGACCTGAAAGAATTAAGGGGTGTAGCTTGGCATGGTGGTGCATGCCTTTAATCCTAGCACTCAGGAGACAGCTGTAGGCAGGCGGATCTCTGTGAGTTCAAAGCCAGTCTGGTCTACATAGTACCTGGGGCTACAGGGAGACCCTGTCTCAAAAATAAATGAATGAATGAGTGAATGAATTGATGAATGAATAATTTAAAAAATTTAAAAAAGAATTGAGGAATTGAGGGGTGAAACATTCATATATTATGGGAAAAGAGCATTCTAGACAAATGAGATGGCATGTGCAAAGGCCCAGAGGCAGGAGCCTGTCTGGAGTAGAATAGCAGGTAGGAGTAATGGAAAAGGTTCTGACAAGAGTCCCCTAGATTTTTTAAATAAAATATATCA